CTTGGAAAAGAATAAGGAACAAAATGGGGTTGGATTTCCCCATCTTTGCCCCTGCCTCCTGTCATGTCCAAGTGCTTTCACTGTCTCCCCTATCTGGAATTCTCTCCCTCCCTCTTTATCTCTACCTCCTAACTCCTGAGAGCTCCTTGAGAGCAGTGACTTCCTTGTTGTTGTTTGTTTATTTGTTTTGGAGTTTTGTTTTTATTTGCCTTTCTTTGTATCCCCAGAACTTAGCACAGTGCCTGCTACTTAGTAGGGCTTAATAGAGGCTTGGTGACTGACTAGTTAGCCTCGCTGAGTGGGAGAGGTCACCTCAAGAAGCCTGAATAGTTAGCCATCTAATCTGTTGGCCAGGATGCAGTGGAGAACTGGGGCAATGAGTGAGCCATAGAGCAAACTCTAACTCTCCTTACTTTTCAGAGGCAGCTAGGTAGTATAGTAACTAGGACGTTGGTCTTGGACTCAGGAAAACCTGGGTGCTCGACCCTAGGCAAGTAATGTCTTTTTCAGCCTCAGTGTTCTCATCTGTAAAATGGGTATTATGACAGTAGAACCTATGTCTTGAGGGTCAAATGAGATAATGTGGTTCAGTGGCTGGAGTATGGGGCTGGAAGAACCTGAGTTTGAATCTTGCCTCAGACACATACTAGTTGTTTGACCATGGATGAGTTATTTGACCTCTCTTAGTCTCGGTTTCCTTATCCTTAAAATGAGGATAAATACCATTTACCTTCTATGGATATTGTGAGAATAAATGAGTTAATATTAACAGCACTTTGCAAATTTTTAAAGCATTATATAAATTATAACTATTGTTGTCATTATTGCAGTTATCATCATCAGAGGGAATGTGATCAACTTTTTGCCCTCTAAGAGTACTTAGTCACTTGTGTAAATGGAGCAGGGACATTGTATTTTCTAGTTTTATTAAAACTCAGCGAGATGGATTGACATCCCAATTTCTGTTCTTTCGTTTACTGATGTTCTGGGCTGTGTGTATATGATTCCTTTCCAGGATTACTTTCCAAAGTCACATCCTGACCAGACATTCTTTTGAGGAATAGTTGTCTACCACCAAAACATACAGCTTTAAAAGAGTTTTTTTTTGGCCACATTAAGCAGTGTAGGGAGATGAGGCAGAAGGCCAGATGAGATCTGGGAGAGAAATGAGGACTTTGGGTGTTATAACAAACAAGAGGGTAGAAGTAGTTTGAATTCTCGGTGTTGGAAGTTAGAGAACCTCCTTCAGCAGTAACATACATGGGAGCTACTTAATTCTCATGAGCTGTTGGCAAGATTCGTGTCCACATTAATGAGTACAGAAAGGTGGGTGGGTGGGGGTGGGTGTATTTGCCTTCCCCAACTGACAGGACTATTCATGCCTGAAGGATTATGCCATTTCCTCTCCGGGCCAGTGACAGACTTCCTTTCTGTTGGTAGTTGTACAAACTATCCAGGCTGCGGTTGGGTGTTTTGTATGTGGCAGAGCTGGCGTTTTCTGATGTTTTTGTGACTCGTCCAAATTACTTAAAGATGTTTTACCTCTAGATAGACCAAATGGATACTAGTTCACATTTATATAACCCTCTATGGTTTACAAAGTACCTTCTCCATAATGCTATGTGGTAGGTAGGAGTTTTACTATTCCCATTTTGCAGATGAGAAAACAGAGGCTTAGGGGGGGAGGTTAAGTGATTTATCCAGAGTCACACCAATAACAAATATTGGAGCTGGAACTTGATGCTAATACCAATGCAGTTTCCATTATGATAAGGCTAGCTTGCAGTATTCTCATAGTTTCTAGAAAATAATTAATGGCTCTAAAGAACTATTGCTCCTTGCTCTTAAAGATCAGGATTAGTCTTGGAGCTCTCTTAACAATCATAAGATTATAGATTTAGAGCTAGAAAAAAACCTTAGAACTTATCTTGTCTGACTCCCTCCCTTCACAAATGAAGAGACTGAGGGCCAGAGAGGTCGTGGCTTATTTATAGCACTTCAATGAAACTAAACAAACAATCAAACAGGTTTGATAATTTAGGCAATATCCTATGCCCATAGTTTCCTATTTCTGTAAAAATGGAATAGGGGTGGTCTATGCTGTATTTTCTGAAGATTTCACCAATCCTTGACATCAATAAGAAAGGTTTTCCACGATATATAAGATGTGTCTTTGTTGTAAACACAAAACTCATGACTGTTTTTTGCATCTCTGACAAGGCTACAGGTATTATTCAGAATAACAAGCCTTACAATTTACTTTTAGTTGTTTAGATTTGATAGTAAAGCAAGATTGATCTTTGCTCTGGTGGGCTGGTTGATGGTAGAGAAGTCAAAGAGAAAGATATTAAACTTAAATTTGAGTCCCCCCCCCCCAATGAATGGCTGCAGGGGAGAATCCAGGAGAGGGCAGTCAATGGTATAGAATGGTACAGAGAGTGGATGAGGGTCGAGAAAAGGCCATTCTATATGGTGATTGAGAGATCCTTGCTAACTTTGGAGAGAGCAATTATAAAAGAGAGGTTGAATTAGAAGCCATATTTCTGAGGTTAAATAGAGTTTTGAATGAGATGTGACTTGATTTTTCAAGGAGTTTGGCTGAAAAAGGAAAGATATAGGATGATAGGTTGAGATTCTAGTCTGGTGAGCATTTTTTAAGGAGACAAGCTGTTTATAGGCAGCAGATAAGTGTGTGTTTGTAGGCAGCAGGGAAGTTCCCAGTGGATAGGGGAAAATTGAAGATAAGAGATGGAGGATGGTACTGGGGCAATCTCTTCGAAAAGACATGAGGAGATGGGACAAAGGGTACATATAGATAGTTGGTCTTGATGAGGAGAAGGGCTGACTCTTCATCAGAGACTGGATGAAATGAGAAAATGATGAGTAATGATAGAGGATTGTGAATTTGACCCATGAGGAAGGGAAGGGAAAGGAAGAAAAGGAAAGAGAATAACCACTTATATAATACCCACTTTGTGCCAGGTACTATGCTAAGAACTTTTACATATATTATCCCATTTGATCCTCACAACAATCCTGTAAGTCTTTGAAGTTAGATTTGAACTCAGGTCTTGTAACTCCAGGCTCTATCTCCTATGCCTCCAACTTCTATCACCCTTTTGATCATTCCCCCTTTTTCATGTTCAGCCTTTCTTAATCTTTGGGTCTACAAACTTGCTCCTTAAAATAAAAATCTTCACTTGACCCCTTCCATTTCCTCAAGATCTGGTCCTGTATCACTGCCAAATTCCAACTTAGCCCCTATTGCTTTGTGATCAGCCTCTTGATGCTTCCAGTTGCAACTGTACTGAAACTGCTATCTCCAAGGAGACCACAGCCTTTTCTCAATCCTCATGTTCCTTGCTTGTCTGCAATGTTTGACAACGGTGACCATTCCTTCCTCTGGACACTCTCTCCTTCCTTGGGTTGCAGGATACTTTTCTCCTAGTTTTCCTTCTACCTATCTTATTGCTCCTTTTCTGAATTATCATCTCCAACCCCCATAACATGGGTATCCTTCAGGATTCTTTCCTGAGCCTTTTTGACATTAATCTCTAGAACAGGGGATTCTCAACCTTGTTTATTTGTTTGTTTGTTTGTTGTTTGTTTTTTGTGGACCCTTTTGGAAGTCTGGTGAAGTCCATGGACCCTTTCTCAAAATAATGCTTTTAAATGCATAAAATAAAATACAAAGGAATGCAAAGGAAACCAATTATATTGAAATACAGTTATCAAAAATAAATTTTAAGTTCACAAACACTAGGTTAAGAACCCTGCTCTAGGCTCTCCCTTGGTTGTCTGACCTGTTCCCATTAGTTTAAGTACTCAGATGCTGGCAAAACTCTTAATTCAGCTATACTCTCTCCTCTGAATTCTGATTCTTTTTTTATTAATTTATTTTGATTGATCAACAATCAGTTTCATAAGCTTTTGAGTTTTAAAATTTTTCTCCCCCTCCCTTTCTTCCTCCCTCCCCAAGACAGCTCGAAATCTGATATAGGCTATTCATATACATTGCTATTAAAGATATTTTCACATTAGTGATGTTATAAGGAAGAATTAGAACCAGTAGGAGGAACCACCAGAAAGAGCTGAATTCTAGTTCTGTATGGTCCAAATAAACTCAGTGATAGAATGCACTATTTTTCCTCTTGTCTTTCTTTCTCTAGCACCTAGTAAAGGGTCATTCACATTATAAGTGCTTAATATATCCATATTCATATGATGATATTTATATATTGAATACAAAAAAATAATAGGTTGCCTGTTGGCCATCTGCTCCAGAATACCTTGCATAAATCTCATTACCAGTGTGTCCAAAACCCATCATCTCCCCAAATCTCTCCCTCCACTGAACTGTTGTATTTCTTTTGCAGGCACTGTTATTCTACCAGTCATTCTGAGGTTCCTAATCTTGAGGGCTACCCTTTACTCCTAGTATTCCCTCATTTCTAGCATTCAACAAATTTCCAAGTCTTTTTGATTCTGCCTCCATAATATTTCTCAAATTTCTTCTCTCCATTCATGCCATCACTGTTGTAGTACAAGTTCTCAACATCTCCCAGCTAGACTACTGTAATAACTGCCTGTAATGGTCTCCATGCTTGTAGTCTCTCTTCTCTTCGATCTTTTCGGCCAAAGGAATTTTCCTAAGGCATAGCTCTGACCATGCTGTGCCCCTGATAAAAAAAACTTTACAGGCTTCCTGCTGCCGTGAGGATAATGTAACAAATTCCTCAGCTTATCATTTACAACCCTCCACAATCCACACTTCTTTGGGTACATATTCTATCTGTTCCTCCCCTCACCCCCCCCAATAGAATGTGACGTCCATGAAGGTGGTCACTGGTTCATTTTGGGCTTTATATCTTTGCATTCCTAATGCCTCTCACATAGTAGGCATTTAACAAATGTTTATTGAATTGAATTGAACTCCAGGGTTTAAAAAGTGTCCTTTGTTTCCCTCTAAAAGACCTTTTTTATCCTCTACTCTGGTCTAGGAGAAAGATATGCTTGCTGCTCTGCTGTTGCTTTCCCTACCCAGTTATTTGATCACACTAGTAAGTATACTGCAATAAAGCCCTTCCCTGGAGAAGCCAATATAGGGCTTACAGGAATCTGATTTCTTGTTGAAGTAATTGGGGGAAAAGCCTATTCTTGTGGCCTTTATGCCACAAAAGCCAGGCAATGTATTTTCTCTTTTTTTTAAATTTTTTTTATTGAATTGGCCCCTTCAATATCACTGTAAGTTATTATAATGGGTTGTGTAATATGTTCTGTTGCCTTAGCCAATGTGAGTTTACTTTCATGTTCAATGCTGAAGGATTCAAGCTAAGGAAGATTCACATCAGCGGAGATAGTAGGGGAAAAGATAATGAGACCCACTGGGGATGTGGGGTCATTTTTCTTCTGTTTACCAAATCTACACATTTTTCAATTAGAGTTCCTACAGGTTGCCCTGCCCAACCTTCACTCAAGGCAAGAATTTCCCATACACCATCCTTGAGAGAGGGTTATCTCCCTTCTGAGGTCCTTTAGGGATAAGTATCCAACCCTGCAGGTTCCTTCATTGGGCACATGTCACCATTAAAAAACAACAACAACAACAACAACTTTTGTGGATCTCTCAGCTTCCTTATAATTTCTAGCTTTTGACCATAGAGCTTCTGGAGCTAAAAAAAAAAATGATTTTGATTTTTCAACCTCTATGTCACATGGTTCAGCCATGATTTCTTGTCCTTATGTTAGATGGAGAGATGTATTGTGCCACGTTTTATTTGAACTCTATTTTAGGGTGATTGCTTCTTTTATTTATTAATTTATTTATTTTTAGTTTTCAACATTCACTTGCACGAGATTTTGAGTTCCAAATTTTCTCCCCATCTTGTCCCTCCTCCCACCCCAAGATAGTATGCATTTTGAATACCCCTTCCCCTAATCTGCCCTCCCTTCTATCTCCCCTTCCCCTTCTATTTTCCTGTAGGACAGGATAGGTAAGGTGGTTGCTTCTTGTTGACATAAATGAAAGCCCTTTAATTTTGTGAAAGGTCTGTCATCCAACCACAACATAGGGCAGGTTCAAATTAACCCTTTCCATTATATGTTGATTTGTGAAACTTTCGGGATTTAGGAGTTGTTTCTTTTTCTTTTCTTTCTTTTTTTTTTTAATCATAGAGGCCTGTAGTCCTATGTCCATTTACCAAAAAGTTCTCTATATCACAGTTTTTCTTTATCTACAAAAACTGCTAATATACTTGCAGTATTTAACTCATTTGAATGTGTTTGGCCAAGTAAAAAGTTCTACACTAGCTGCATGGTGCTGGGCAATTCATTTAGCCTCTGTTTACCTCAGTTTTCTCCTCTGTAAAATGGAAATAATAATAGTGCCTAACTCCCAGGGTTATTATGAGGATCAAATAAGAAAATGGTTGTGACGCACTTAGCACTGGGCCTGGAATGCAGTGAGCACAATGTCAACGTTAACTATTTATTATGCAAAAGTCATGTGTTACACTTCTTTTTGTATCTCTTATGCGTTTAGCTGGGTATATTTAAATAAGCATATTACTAATTTTAAGAAATCATTTTTCTTAGAATTAGTATTCTAATTTTCATCAAATCTACCAGACAGGCCAGGAATCTTAGGAAAAGTCCCATTCCATCCTGAAACAAATGGTTAACTGTTGTCATCTACTAAGACTTTGAAGCTCTAAGCCAGTGTGGTGTAATGGATGCTATGCAGGAGTTAAAGTCAAGCAGACCTGAGTTTGAATCCCACCTCTCATACTTACTAGCCACATGACCTTGGGCTAATCATTTCACCTCAGGGTCCACATGTGCAAAATAAGGACAGTAATACCTTTGGGACCTGTCTGACAGCATTGTTCAGCAGCTCAAACAAGACAGTGTGTGTAAAGCACATTGAAAACCCTCAAGAGCTATATAAATGTCAGTTATTTATTTTTTGTTGTTTTTATTAAAAAGCACAGTAGGATTCTAAAAATATTTTTCCCCCAAGGGAAGGCTTGCTGGGGGACAGGGGAATGAAAGATCTATGTAGGAATGAATGTGATATGAAAACAAAAGGCATCAATAAAAATTATTTCTAAAAGCACCATATGCAAAGTCACAAGTTGCAGTACTTGCTACTTCCTCTTTTGGTCCTCAACTAGGAAGATCTTTAACTCTGGTCCTTGAGATGCTTTTCTATTTTCAAGAAATGACCTTGGCCATTATTACTCCTTGGCTCCTTTTTTGGTCTATGATGAATTCACCCCAGTGTGCCTTGGGATGCTCAGTTTGAATCACAGTCCTCCCTGCGATGGGGTGGTAAAAATAATAACTTGTGTTACATAGTAATTCAGTTACAAAGTAGCTTCGTTGCTATCCTCCCTATGATGTAGAGAGTACAAGTATTAGCCTACATTTTACAGAGGCGGGAACTGGGAAATATAAAATACAAATGACTTGCTCATGAACTCTCTCTCAATTTCTTTCTAGCTCCAATTTCTATGACACCTTTTCCCTCATAGCCCTGCAGCACCGACATGCCCCTCCATGCACCCCCCCCCTCCCCATGGCCTACCTTGTTTCTTAGCATTTTCTATTCCTGTTCTGAGAATCACTAGAAAGTCATGTTTGATTATTAGGCTTCTGTCTTTAAGATACATGTATAGGGCCTTTTTTTTTTTTTGTAAAGTACTTTAGGAATGACCCTAGGCTCTTGGCTAGCCTAATATAGACCATACTGGTATAGACCAAAGTACAAAGATAAGTCAGCAATGTTTATATCAGTAGGACAGTTTGAAATATGAGGCAGTACAAGGAGTAACTATATAATTCATTGAATTCATTCATTCAAGAAACATTTATTGACCACCTATTATGTTTTAGGCACTGACATAATAGGTGGTTAATAAATGGATACAGGGACTAAAACAGGATTGTCCCCATCGTCAAGGAGCTACATTCCATTAGGGGAAGCAATATGTGTACATAAATTGATCCAAAATATACGAAGTTAAGTCAAAACCTCTTTTTGTGGAAGCAGGCCCTAATATCTGGAGGGATCAGGGAAGGCTTTGTGTAGGAATTATCTCCTGGTCTGAGTTTTGAAGGAAGCTGAGGTTTCTAAGAATCAGAGGTGAGGAAGAGAGTACATGAGAGGCCTGGGAGACAACCTGGAGAAAGGCGCTAAGATGGACGTAAGAGATAAGGGGTGTATAGGGAACATTAAGTAGGCTGATTTGGCTGGAGAGTAGAGTATATGAACAGGAGTAAGTATGTAATAAATCTGGAAAAGTTGGCCAGAGCCAGATATGAAGTTTTAAATGCCAAACAGAGAAGTTTGTATTTTCTTTTGTCCAAGAGGCAATCAGTAGAGTCATGAGAGTTTTTTGAGCAGGGCAGTGGCATGGTCAGATCTCTACTTTATAAATAGATATCAGCTCTATGGAAGATGGATTGGAAAGCGAAAGGACTTAAGGCAAGGAGACCACAATTAGGAAACTATTAATCTGGTCCAAATGAGTTGGAGAGAAGGGAACAGATACATACAAGCTCGTGTGTACATGGTTGTTTGCTTGCTCTCTGCCACATTGCAGTGTGCCTTGAGGAAAGAGGTCATGTTTTGGCCTTCTTTTGCATCCCTAGCACTTAGCACAGTGCCTGCCACATAGCAAACATTTAATAAATGCTTGTTAATTAATGAATGCTTGAATAATTGATTGTAATGTTGTGGAAGTAGAGTCAATAAGACTTAGCAAGTGATTTAATATGGGAGGTTTCAAACCTGAGTGACTAGAAAGAAGAATGGTAGTGTCCTCAGCTGACATTCCTTATTTGAGGAGAAGGGGTGGGCTTAAGTAGGGAAAGAATGAATTCTGTTTTGAACACATTGAAGGTATCTAATTGAAAATATTTAAAAAGCAGATGGCAATCTGTGATTGGCACTCAGGAGAGAAAGTATGGCAGCATATATACATCTGAGAGTCATCTGCATATAGATAATTGAACCTCAAGAGCTGATGAGATCACCCAAACATGGTGTAGAAAGCAAGAAGGCCCAGTGCCCTGTCATATACCTATGCATAGGGGGCAGAAGTTGAATGAAGAACCAGCAAAAGAGACTGAAAAAGAGTTGAACCAGCATATAAGAGATGAACCAGAAGAGAGCAATGTCACAAAAAACTTATGGAAGACAGTTTCCAGAAAAGAAGGTCATGGTGGTCAGCAGTGTCAGAAGCTGCAGAGAGGGCCATTAAATATGTCATGTTGAGGTGTTTGTGGCTAGTTGTAGAGGTAGCATAAGGAAAAACCTTTCTAATTGAAGAAAAAGCCAACATAAAATAAGAAAAAAATCAAATGTGACAGACTATTTTGCAAATGATTGTAGCCTATCCATGCCTTACCCATTCTTTGTGAATCTAATCCTTGACCTCCCCTAAATTCTTGAATTTGTTTTGGAAGCTTTGCTAACTTAGGATCATAGGAACATAGATTTAGCATTGGAAGGGACCTTAGAGGTCATTGAGTCCAACCATCTCTTTGTTACAGATGCAGAAATTGAGACACAGAGATTATATGACTTGTACAGGGTTATTCAGCTAGCAGTTGTCTGAGATGGGATCTGAACCCATATCCTCCTGACTCTAAGTCCACTTTTCTATCTAGTACACCACAGTTCTGTGACATGTCAGCTTACTATCAGTGAATGGAAGCTATCACTCATTAGCTTTCATTCTCTTGTCATGACTGGAAATCTTTTTTTAAAAAAAATTCCCTAATAAAATCCCTTATTAGGGTTCTTTTTAGTTCATTTATTTATTTTTTTGTTAAGAACAAATAAAGAACTTTGAAGAAGGAGGATATCCTGTATCCATTATTAACAGGAATCTTAAGATCCCCAGGACAGAGATGATGTTTTTCTCATCTTTATGTCCTGAGCATCAGCATGTCCTTGAGAGCTCTAAGCATACTTAGTGCTCAATAAATATTTGTTGATTGAATGAATATGGTAATTCACTAGCCTAATAGTGTTAAGTCAAAGTTGTCCTTAGGGGATTGATCTGTTAACAGAAAAGTTTGTAATTAGGAAATTAATTGTTTGTATGTTAATGAGTACTTTCAAAGTGCTTGAAAATAGTTCTCTTAATGGCCTCAACATTCTCCCCCAAAGCCTTATTTACCCTACTAATTTGTTAAGGATCCTAAAAGATTAGCATATCCTTTAGTTTTGTACTGACTATGAAAACAATTTAACCCCAAACAAATGATCGTATAGATTCCAGGTTAGAGGATTCCAAATAAAGTTATATTGTAATGCAGGCTCATGTGTATATATACCCAAGAATTGCATTATTTCATTCTGTATAACTTTATTAACTGTTAAGATGTTCAAGACCAGAGAATGTCAGCACCCACAAGCATTAGAATTTTAATAAATCCTTTCAAAGTCACAAATGCGTGTATCCTTCCCATAGGGGCCTAGTAGTGTTTGTTCTGTAGAGGCTGAGGATTCTTCTGTATCTTTGTTAAAAAGAGATTGATTTGACTTAAGTTTTAAATACATTAATGTCTGTGAATACCACTGTACCTCTCCCTCATTCCCTTTAGAGAATATGAGTTTACTGACATGATTTTAAGTATCTTCAGTACATTCCCTAAACCCAGTTGAGCATCTCTGACTATAGCTGTTGAGAGAGAGAGAGAGAGAGAGAGAGAGAGAGAGAGAGAGAGAGAGATGGTTAAGAATGATGTCTCTTGTTCTAGACCAATTTCTATAGGTGGATCTTCTGACACCACCCTTGTCTTCTTACTACTTGTTGGTATAGATTAGAATCACCATCTGTGAAAAACCTGAGATGAAAAGTTCTCCATTTACCTAAGGCTTAAGATGCTATGTCAGATTTTAGTAGAATCTGTCAAACAAAAGGTTGTGGTGGGTCTTTTTTAGCAGTTTCTAAACTTCTGGTGATACAGTGCAACAAAGAAGCACATTAAAAATTGCACACACATGCACACGTTTTTCTTCGTGATTTTGATCAGAGGTGTTTGAACCTTAGTTGTGAGGCTGTTTATTCACAGGATATTATCCTAAGACCAGAGAGGAGTTAAGATGGATGATTCAAATGAAAACTTACATGTAGAAGAGAATGTATGTTTAATTTGGTAATTCATCTTTTGTACCATGTCAAAGTTGGTTTGGTTGTAAATTACAGTAATAATACAACAAATGCCTGTCATCCATCAGCTGTATTTTGAATCAAATACCTGCTGGTTTTTCTCTTCTTTTCTTTTCTTTTCTTTTCTTTTCTTTTCTTTTCTTTTCTTTTCTTTCTTTCTTTTCTTTCTTTCTTTCTTTCTTTTCTTTTCTTTTCTTTCCTTTCCTTTTCTTTTCTTTTCTTTTCTTTTTTCTTTTCTTGTCTTGTCTTCTTTTCTTTTCTTGTCTTGTCTTGTCTTGTCTTGTCTTTTCTTTTCTTTCTTAGCCATTCCAAGTAACTGATGAAGTCTCTGACTCTGAATCTACCTTTTGGGAAAATGTAAAATGTATTTAGGGATTTTTCCTGTCATCTTTCTCTCCCTGCTCTTCACATCCCCATTTGTTACCTCCTGCTAACCCCTCAAATCTGTCTATCTGTCTGTCTGTCTGTCTCTCTCTCTCTCTCTCTCACACACACACACACACACACACACACACACACACACACACACACGAAAACAGCAGGCCTGTCCTCTTTTCTTCTTCCTTGAGGAATTTATTCCATCATGTACTGTTCAGTAGGCTACAGGCATTGCAATCACCTCTGGGCACTTGTTCAAAATCTCAGAAATGAAATAACAGATTGGCCAGACTGTACCAAACTCCCTCATCACAACCCTATTATCTCCTCATTCTGTCACCCCCATTAGGCAAAAGCCTGGGAGACCAGATGATGATAACACTTTTTATTTATGTATCTGTATCTTTCATCTGAGCTCTTCACTGCATTTTGCCAGTGTTAAGTCATTCATCTTTGGATAATTAATTTAAGAATGAAGTTCAGGTCCTCGGACTTCTCTAGTCCAGTGCTCTAGTCAGTGGGGCATGCTCCTGGTGTTTTGAAGAAGTACCAAGCCTGGCTTTTCGGAGGCATCTTTGTAGAGAAAGTCTATGAAATGATTTCCCGTCTCCTCTTATCCAATAGACCGAATAGTGATCATTGTGGGAATGAATGTGATTAACCTCCAAGTGTGTTATGTTAAATGAATATGCTTCATTTAACCAGGAAGAATTTGATCTAAATTATTCATAGCCCAGCAAGAGAGAGGCAGTTTAGCAGATAGTAGAAAGCACACTAGATTTGGAATTCCGGCTCTGCCAAATCCTGGCTCCATGTGACTATAAGCAAGATAGATTCCATTAGAATGCCAGTAAGATAGGGCCTTTGAGGGATTCTTGGGATAGACAGGTGTACAAGGGAAAGAATTTTGAGGATCTTCGCTCATGCAATTGAATTTTCTTTTCATTCTTACTGCATTTGTTGATCTTGTCTGAAGATTACAGACATAGGGCATAAATGATGACCTTCCCAGTGAATTGTTCTTGGCCAACGTCAAGTACAAAACTATGGTGGTACTCAGAGCCCAGAGAATGAGAAGGGAGAAACTGAGGAAAGTCTTTTTCCTACAATTATGTAATCAATATTAGAATTCTCAGTCCTTTTCTTCTCTGTAAGTGGTAAGCATTTTGGTGTAGTTTACCTATTGCCTGGAAAATCCTTGTTTTTGTCATTTCTGTCTGTAGACTTTGTTCTCATGCTGAGGAGGCAATAAGAAATATATCTTAATGATTCTGAGACTAATGCATTTCTCCTGTGTGCTCAGAGGATAAGGCATTTGGTCTAGGTTAATACACAACAGAGAAAACCATTCCTGTTTGAAAAACCTTCTAAGAATAAATGTGAGACAGAGGAAAGGATTGGAGTGGGGGTAGGGGTAGAGGAATACTCCCAAGCCAAAATAAACTCTTCATTCTTATGTTATTGCATAAAATTAGGGTAAATATAAACATATAGCTGTACAAGTGCTTTCTATCATCTCACTTATGAACCTCTTTTCCTTTCTTTTTCAAATAGCCCACACACCAGACAACAGTTTTCTGGGATTTGTGGTAGAACAGCACCTGAATTCAAGTGATATCAAGCACATTAATGAAATCAAAAGGCAGAATCAGTCCCTTGTGTATGGCAAAGTTGACAGCTTCTGGAAGGTAAGTCTGATTTTTAAAAATATATCTTTTTAAAAAAATGTTTGTTCTGTAATATAATTAAACTTTGTTTCAGGGAATAATTAAGCTAAATTGTCAGGGCTTAATGTGATTTCCTTAGAAGTAAACACAAATATTAGGGAATTTCAAAGCTGAGTATTAGGGCATCAAACAAAGGTAGTCCCTGCTCTTCCATTTATTCCACATGGACAAATTCTTCATTCTCTTTTATATTTTGGAAGTAATGCTGTTTTAGTTTCTTGAGATACTTTGCTTTGAAGTGTCCCTGTCAAAAATAATGAGTGAGCCAGGAATAGTGGTGCGTGGCCCTACTGCCAGCTGCCAGGAAGGTTGAAGCTGGCAAATCTATTGAGTTCAGGAGTTCTGAGCTGTAGTGAGTGGGCTGTGCCAATCAGATGTCTACATTCAGCATTCCTCTCTTAAATCTTCTGGAGTGAGTGGAGGGCCAACAGGTTGTCTGAGGAGGAAGGGTGAAGCAGAGCAGGTCAAAGCTCCCATGCTGATCATAGCAGGATGGTGCCCGTGAATAGTCCCTGCATTTCTAATGTGGTAGAAATAGGGAGAACAAGTCTTCAAAAAAAAAAAGAATTTTAAGCTGTTGGACATCTAGTACTATTTGTAGAATAATTACCTGACCTGGGAATTACACTTTTTCCAAGAAGTCTTTGTTTTTGCCCTCTCTGGGCTTACATTCTAAAGGCCTGAAACTTCCTTAGATTGGTTAAAGAGCTGACCTCCTTGTCCTTTAGTTCAGTCATCACCGGCTAAATAGTGAATAGAAAAGCTTGCCACAGCTAAATGCCCCTCAGCTTATTTAGGTCAGTGATGGACAAATTTCAAATTGGGAATTTCAATCACAGCAAAATTTGTGACTGCATATATTTTGCTAAGAACCCAACACATTCTTTCTTTGTCTTCTACTGGAATGGTATCTAATACTGAAGCACTAGACTATATTAATGGTAAAAGTAGTAGAAACACAAGATTGAATGTGATAGACTGATAGCCAAAAAAGCATTTTGTGTAGAAAACCCCTCCTCAATACACACAGGTAGGTGTTAGTCATAGTGAAACATTTTATAGAACAGAATTGGTTTCTGGGTTAAGAAATGCCTGTCCACGTATGTATTTTGTTGTTGTCATTGAGTTGTTTTTCAGTCTTGTCTGACTCTTTATGACCCCATTTGGGGTTTTCTTGGCAAAGATCCTGGAGTGGTTTGCCATTTCTTTCTCCAGCTCCTTTACAGATGAAGAAACTGAGGCAAACAGGGTGAAGTAATTTGCCCAGGGTCATATAGCTAGTAAGTGTCTGAGGCCAAATTTGAACTCAGGAAATTGAATCTTCCTGACTGCAAGGCCCCATCTCCATCCATTGTGCCACTTACTTGGTATATACACATATTCTATATAGTATATTCCCAAAATGATCAGTAAGATTCCTTGAACTAGGAAATGTTTTAGCTGAAACGGTACAAATAAGTTTAGAACTAAAAAGGATTGCATGTTAATGGTTTGTGGGGTTTTTTTTCTTTTTAGAGCAGTGCATAGAAAGAGGACACATTCTCTTCTATCTTAATATTAATGTATTTCTGAGATATTAAAGTGTAATGAATGGGGGAGTATCTGAGTTAAATCAAGATGTAGAAGGGAAACTAACTAACCCAGAGTAGGTGTCTTTGTCATAAACAACCCATATTTTCCAAGTTTTTTAATACCTAAGACTCCTTATCATTTTGAACAAATGTGGCAAAAAGATGCCTTAATATTTAACCTGGGGCACATGAATGATTTCAGGGAGTTCTTGACTTTGGTTGGGGGGAAAATTGCATCTTTGTTTCAATATAATTGGATTCCTGTTTAATTCTATACATTTTATTTTACTTAAAAAATTTTTTTCTAAAAGGGGATTGCACAGGCTTAATTAGATTTTCCAAAGTGGGAGAGGGGCAGGAGAGGTCCAGGACACACCTTTTCTTTAAAGGATAAGACTTCCTTTCTGTTTTGTGAGGCTGCCATCAGACCCTTCTCTCTCAAGTGAGCACCAAGGTGGGGATGGGTGAACTATTTGGGTTGCAAAGGGTTATTTTATTAGGTTTCTATGAAGTTATAGTTCTTTATCCACCGACACTAAAATCTGCTGTTACCAAGGCATTTTTTTTTTAAGCTGGGACTCTGATAAGAAAGGAAATGTTTCTTGTTCCCATTCTCAGCTGGGTTGTGAAATGAGATCATGGGCAGGAGGAGGTTATTTTTGTGGGAGACTCAAGCTCAGAAGGTAAAATGAGAGAGCTATGTGTTAACCTTGTCACTCCTACTTCTCTGTCCACTCTCAGTTAGGGATGGGGAAAAGCCTGCTTACACTAACTTAATTGTATTGCTCCTGTCTCTAGAGTTGAGTCCTACTTTCTGCCAGGTGACTTTGACAACCTTCTCAGTTTCACAGATGGAACACTTAGGCCTAAAATCTTTTAGGGTCATTTTTTTTTAAAGAGATAGATAAAAGAAAATGCCATAAAGTGCCAACCAAGATCCCTAAGGTATTGTTTCCTTGGCATAAATATTTGAGAGCAATCCAAAGGTGTTAAAATTTTCTGCCTTTTTACAAGCCGTGTTTATTCCTCAAGCATGAGAAAAGGCAGACTAATACAATGTCTAAGTCAGTTTGATTTTCTTTGACACCAGAAGTTTGGTATGTGATTCTGAGTTTATTACATCATTCTAGTTTTGTATGCTGGGAAAGGCCCAAACAGATGTAGCACGTTTTGAAATTTAGCATAAATATAGGACATATTCTTGAAATTTTGAGCACAACACAGTGTGTAGGAGTTTAGTTTCTTTTTCCAAAATGCTCTCATCTGAAAGCATCCAGGGAACCAAGTACAAGGAACAGATGTTCCTTTAAAATGAGTGTTACTCAGGCCACAAATTTGTGTTATTGCCATTAACATTAGAATGAGCTACCCAGGAAGATTGTGGAGTCTTCTCACTTTCTCCCCCTCTGTATTCCACCCTTCCCACATTTATCTCCCCAAAAAAGAACTTTAGGAAAATAAATGTCAACCACCCCCCCCAAATTGTTTAGATAATTAGTTGCCTGAAGGTAGGGTATTGGACCAGATGAACCCAAAGTGGTATGATTTTGATCTGAGACTCTTAGGATTTGTGGTCATGAACTTCAGGAGAATTGCTGCCCAGACTAGTGAGAGGTATATCCTTTCTGGGAACCAAGGAATTAATTAAATGAGTTTACTCCTACCTATACCCACCAGTATAACTCACTAAGACTCCCTTTATCCATATGCATCTATGTCTAGCACTAGGCACCCTGACAGTGCAACTTACTCACTGGGCTCGAAGCTTCCAAAGGGTATAACTGTGAAAAAAAACTCTCTCAAGGAGAGTAGAATTTGAAGTGCTATATCACTCCATTTATCTAGAATTGGGATAGGGGGTGGGAATGCAGTTTTCCACATGAGTGAAGTTTCCATATAATGGAAAATTACCTCTAAGTTTCAAAACTTTATCATCATACCATTTATTACAAATAGTTTGTGCTTTTGATCACTTTTTGGTGGAAATATTTCTGAAATTGATTAGACAAAAATGATATCACTGAAAAGGATCTGAGAGCTAATCCAATTTTACTAATGAGGTAACTTAGGCCCAGGGAAATGGTTGTCCAAGGCCATGTAGCTAGTTAGTGACAAATCTAGGTCTAGGCCTCATGTAGTCTTATCTAAAGTTTCCCCCCTTTTACGGTGCCTCCCAATGTATCACACGCTTCCCCTACTTTCTTAAGCAGAGCATATAAATATAGTTTCACCTATTTTTAAGACTTATCCATCATTTTGAACATAATCAATTGTACTCTCTTATAATAAACTGACACCCCCATGGTCTCATGAGGTATTACAACGATTTGTTCTTCCAATGTGTGACCTCAGACTGAAATGCCTTTTTTTTTTCTTGTTATCTGATTTTGTTTTTTATAGTTTTTCCATCTTCCCTCATACTGTAAAATTATGTGAAACTAAGAATAAATGGGCTTGATGTGAAGGCCTAAGGGAATCATTCAATGAGTAAAGTCCCAAAGTTTCAGGGTATAGACTTTTTGTCTTCTATTTTGGCCCTTTTGCCTTCTTAGTTCTTAGTAGTGTTCCAGATTAGGAAGGTCAACTTCCAGATAAGCCCATTTTATTCCAACTCTAAGATTCTATAATTCTTCAGCTTAACTTTTCCCAGGAACAACTTGTCTGCTCAAAGAGGCCTAATGTTATCTACTTTCATGCTTCAAAAGCAGCTCCCTATGGATGCTTAAGAGCAGAAACCTGCAGAAAAGAGTTGTGCAAAATAATTGGGGGGGAAAAACATCTTGTTTCATGTCTGCCAACCCATGGCTCTTTGTTTAGAGGTTTTGATACACTATCAGGCCCTTGCCTACAGTGAAGACTAAAGAGGTGTAAGAGAGGTTAAATAGAAGAGAGCCTCAGTTTCTTAGAGTCCCCGTTGAAAATGCTTATAATAAGCATGTGACTTCATTAGTGCCCCGTTGATACGCAATTAAGGTTCTAAGTTCTTGAAATCAACATTCAACTTCAGATCCTAACATCAGAGGCTAATTCTTCTCACCCTTGAAATTTATACAAGGAGCTGCCACTGATTGCAACAGCAGGTATGTGCCCCAGCATCTCCGTAACTGCTCCCAGCTTGTGATTTACCTGTTTCTTTTGGAAAGGATGAGATGTGCACAGTTTTAAACTTGCATTTGGGGTTTGCAGTTAGCTGATTTGCTTTTTAGAATAATAATGTTCCAGCCTTCTCTCCTGCAGTAAGAATTCATACTCCTGCAATAAAATTGTTGTTCATTCTTCATTTCTGAAGGGGACCAATGACATCATGGGGTGATGTTTTGACTTGTTGTGTGAGTTGTGTTTAAATGAGGCAGAGTTGCATAAAGTCATCACCCTAAAATCTAGTGGTCA